TAGTAGATTACATACCTAGGCCAGTAAAATAAGAAAAGTCTCAGACCACATGTAATTGTTGGCCGAGGCGGAGCCGAGGTCGACAAACATGTGGTCTGAGGCTTTACTTTTTACTGGCCAAGGTGTGTATACTATTTTTCTGCTCGACGTAGCCGGAATGTAGCAACTTTGTTTAGCGCAGCGGCCAGAAAGTTGCCACTTTCCGGCCGGAGGGCAGAAAAAAAAGATTTCTTAATAAATAATTTAAATGGCTGATAAATAAAAAAAACAATTGTAAACGATTAAAAAAATTTTTTAAGAATTTTTTTTTTTTAATCGTTATTTCATTAAGACAATAAAATGACGAAAAAAAATTTTTCAAAAATATTCAACTTGTCTATTTGTTTATAACAAATTTTTAAACAACTAATGTTAAAAATTCTTTAGCCAAGCTACTATACGCAATATATTAATACAAAAACAACCGAAATTGAAGATTTCGGAAAAAAAATTTTTTTTATAACATTAACTTGATATTTCTATTTTTGATAACTTTAAAAAATTATTATAAACAAATGAAAAAACTTTTCTAAACTTTTACAACGGAATCTTGTTCATTACTTATATAACAAGAGCTCCTAAAATAAAGAAAAAGTTATAAACATTTTTTTAATTTTTATGAGAGATTTTATGAAATCTTAAATCTACAAAAAATTTGTTAAATAACAATTAAATAACTTAAATAAAAATCAAGCTAAATTTTTTTTTTGCGGGGCTATATTCCTTTAAGTGTCTAGATAACACTATAATTTATTCAGATATTTAAATTAATATTGAATGTTATCAAAATATTATTTTGTGTTGCATACTTTGCTTGGCGGCGACGCCTAGGCCCCGAAACGGCCACGCGGAGCCCAAGTTTCAACGTTAAATTAAAATTATAAATAATGGAGCTAGAACTCCGGGAGTCGAGACTTATTTTACTAAAATTTTCTACTCTTTTAGGATCTTTTTTCAAATTTCAGATAACTTCAATATTTTTGAAGTTATAGCTACAAAACGAAGACTCTCTTTTTTTCTCTTCGTTTTTTGTTTATAACAAATAAAATTTTTAATGGCGGATAAATTGAAAAATACACTTTCTCAGAATTAAATTCTGAATCCAACGCACCAATCGCCATATTTTTAAGAGCATTGTAACGATTTTTCGCAGAAATCTCGCTTCTCGACTAGACTATATAGTTTATATGAAATCACTGAAGTCTTTAAGTACAACTCGGTTGCGTAGCATTGCGGATAGTGTATAAGACTGGCGAGCGTTAGACGTAGGTTCGGAACCCGGGCGTTGCGGTTTTTCGGTTATTATTTATATCTAAGGTATCCTTAAGTTAGTTAATTAGTAAATACATATGTTCTAGTACATGCAATAACTATCGCGAATGCTGCCTTCATGACTCACAATAATATAAGAAAAAAAAAAAAAGTCCCACGTCAGTACAATTTTTTGTATTGGAGTCACATTTAATTATTGCCTTATATATTAATAATTTAATAATAATTATAATTATCTTAATAATAATGTTCGGATTCTCTATTCGTTGAAATATTTATTTATTTATTTATGCATTGAAAATATCAGGTGTTATGATTATTATTTCATTAAAAATAAAAAAAAAAATAAAGGATCCGAGTGGGATTCGATCCCGAATTGCTAGCCATTTTAAAATATTTTTACTATTATTATTATGGTTAGTATTATGATTATTTAACGTCTGGTTTAATGGTAAACACGTCAGAATGGGAAAAAACTCCCCAAGTTACCGTTAAACCAGACGTACGCTCATGAAGCACTCAATGATATAACGTCTGGTTTGATGGTAAAATTATCTAAAAGTTAAGTTGGAAAAAAGTACCGTCAAAACGGAACTCAAATTTCGACTCGGGCGCTGTAACAAAAGACGTATGCGTAGCTCTATCAATGCACGAATGTTGAACTTTCTGCTTTAAAAAGGTGCAAAATTTGCGTACTTTCGACCGAGGTATAAAGAAAAAATAGTATATTACACACCGAGGGAAGTAAAGTAAGAAATGTCTCAGATCACATGTAATTGTTGGCCGAGGCAAAGCCGAGGTCAACAAACATATGATCTGAGGCTTTCTTATTTACTTCCCGAGGAGTGTATGCTATTTTTTTGCTCGACGAAGGCAGAAAGTGGCAATTTCGTTTAGCGCAGCGGACCGAAATTTGACGCTTTCTGCCCGTCGAGCAAAAAATTTTTTTATCTATCTATCTATTTATCTATCTACATGAGATTTTTGGGTTAAATTCTATAGTTGACTTTTAGAAAATAGATAGATACTTTATTTTCATGCCAAGGTCAAGTGGCCGAATGGCAATTAAAAAAAAAAAACAATACTTTATACAGTGGATTATAAATAAGCTTGTAATATGATATGACACATTAATAACAAGTGCAGGATAAGCTGACATAATCATCAATATTTTTTAATTAACTTAATTTTATTGACAATAAGTGAAACAATTTTTAATGAGGGTAAATAAAGAGTAAATTAACTGATAAGAAGAAAAAGAAAGAACAATGTTAACTACACTGAAAAAAAAAAATTCTTGACTGGAGGGTAAATTTTCTTGGCTCAAGAAAATATTAAGGAAGATTGAAAATTTTTTGAATGAAGTCGAATAAGTTTCTTGAGCCAAGAAAATTTCTTCTTGCTCCAAAATAACTTATGTCTTCATTAAAATTTTGTTGGTGCAAGAAGTTTTTTTTTTTCTGTGTAAAAGAAATAGATTTAAGCTAAAACAAGAAGATGAATTCAGCTAATGAGAGACTTTTATAGATCAAGATTAAGTAAATGACCGTAGATTTTATTTTTGAAGACTTCAATTCTAAATGCATTCATAATATGTGCTAGGAGTTCTTCCCAGAGATGCTATTACAACGAAAGAGAACTCGTAGTAAGTAGTCGCAAAATTCGGCATTTTAAAGTTTCCATTACTTCTCTTTTCCTCTAATTTCTCAAAGCACCCTAACATCTAGATCTTCGATGAATAGTTCACGTTAATAGCAAAAAGTTTACCTAATTCTCCTATAGTTCATAAAAGTCGCAGGATAGATAATCCGACTACTTCTAATAGAAAATCAGCCTAGTTCTTGTCGATAAGGAATTATGTGCTCATCACGTTTTAAATTAGAGATAAAGCGAATCGTTGAATTTAAAGAGCGTTGCAATTGTTAATCACTTGAAAATGTAGAGTTTGTTTGGACTATTGAGCAATAAACAATAATTGGTAATATACTTGCTAAGATTAACAATTTCCTAATGTCTTTTATAAAAATACTTTTTTGTAATTTTCAATTATATACACAGAAAAAAAGAATTATTTGTCTCAAATAAATCAATTTATTTGAGTCATTTTTTTAAATGTTTGTTTGTGACAACCATATATATTTGGTACAAGTAAATACAACCGCTGACTCGAATTATTTTATTATTTGTCA